AGTACTACTGTATACAATAATATTATGTTATAATTCAGTAACAAGTGTTAGTACTACTGTATACAATAATATTATGTTATAATTCAGTAACAAGTGTTAGTACTACTGTATACAATAATATTATGTTATAATTCAGTAACAAGTGTTAGTACTACTGTATACAATAATATTATGTTATAATTCAGTAACAAGTGTTAGTACTACTGTATACAATAAATAGTACTGTATACAACAATATGATGTTATATTTCAGTAACATATATTAGTACTACTTTATACAACAATATTATGTTCTAATTCAGTAATAAGTATCCGTAGTACTGTATACAACAATATTATGTTCTAATTCAGTAACAAGTATTGGTACTCTTGCGTACAATTTATCCGAGAAAAACAATATATAACGGTAGTTCAACCACACCATGTCCGCCATATCTATTGTCGACGATTACTCAGTACCAGGCCGGCTGACATCTAAGAAACAAGGAAATGGTTGGAACGCTGTTTATATATGATAAACAATTCGTGGACATATAGCAGTTGATAAACTATTATAGGCCGAACTGTAAGGGACAGAATAAAATATGCAATTTTTATAATAAAATTCAATTAATCGAATATTTTATAAGAAATATAATCTATTATTATCATTTTTGTCAGCAAGGATTTTCACCCATTAAAATTGTTTTTATAAAAGCGCTAGGCTTCATTCTAATGTAATTTATTGATAATGTAAGACTTTATGAATGTTTTAACCCCCTAACTCCTGTTTCACTCATCAAATCAATCTTAACTAATGCAGGTTTCTTTAGAGGATTATCACCATGATCCTGCGCATTATGAGGTAAAGTTAGTTTTCTATGAAATGTAGATTAAGGTTTGAAACTTATCTATATCAGATGTTTTATTATGATTGTTTCTGTACCTTGAAAAAATTGAATTATAATTATAACTGATGAATCAGAGTTTTCGTTTGAAATAAAGAAAATTATATAATACAACATACTAAAAATATACTTGTGCAAAGAATTATAGTTAAGAAAGCATTAAATACTTAGGATCATATAACAAAACATATTGATAATAATTTTTTTATATGGATATCATACTATTTGAGATAAACAAATATGACATCAGTGTGACGTGTACTGTTTCTTATTTTGTAGGCGTTAATGGACGTGATAATACGTCGATACTTCAAAGAGAAGAATCCTCTTGAAACTACTGTTTGAAAACTTTGTTATTCTAGCTTGAAAACTCAGAACTACTATGTGTAACATTCATGTCTGTAAATTAAGACTTTAAAGTTTTAAATTGAAATAAAGACCCTAAATGTGATAAAAATTCTTCTTTTCAAGAAAGAAAGTGTTTGTAACTCTGTATGTTTTAAAGAAAGTAATGAGTTTGGCGAAGAATGTTTTAAGATTTCATGTATAAGAAATATTCCTCTAAGTTATGTTACTAAATGTTTTAACATTTCGTGTATAACAAACATTCCTCTATAATATGTTACTAAGGCATTGTCAAGATGAAAGTGTAGTCTTTGAGGGAGATAAAATATATTTTTCATATTACTCGTGGAAAATTCCATTGAAAATCTGAAACTTACCTTGTGTTTATTCTCAATTCGTTATTATTAACAGTATGAAATTTATACAACGTTCAAAGAATCTGTTATAGCCGCGTGAGTTTGTCGAATAATAATTGAAAATATTTTAACCTGTTAAAACATTTTGTTAAACGTTTTCTGATAAGAACTAAATCTAAATTTGAATGACAATATATAAATAATTATGTGAAAAACAGTTATGGTGCATAATTCAAGTAAATATATTTCCAGTGTTATGGAAACCAAAAAGAAGTAGAAGCGTTTTAGAATTAACATGTAAATTTTACCACGATTATGTAACCCCCTTTTCACCAAAGGTAAAAATGAAAATACAATCTGTGACGTAGAGGTTTAATATATTCTTTGATTCGCATAACATAACTTAGTTTTATCTAATCAAGACTCATTATCTCAGATTCGGTCAGTAAACTAAGAATTCACTGTATAATACTGAATAATACTTTTGGTCCAATGATATAATGCTATTCAGATACACCAAGTGCACTACTGTCCCAACAACTCGTTTGTTCTTCAACTTTTGTAGTGTATTCAATTGTGCGTTAAAAAGGACTGAAAACATATTAAAAATGATTAGATTTCTGTTATTTTTTCAAATGTTAGATAATATAATGTTTACCACATATATCCAGTTTTTGCTATTGTTATGTGATACAAAGTTTACCAGGTATCTCTAGTTTTCTTCAGTGTTATATAGTATATAATTTGCGAAGTTTTCCTGTTTTTCTCATGTTCAACATAACTATAATCTCATAAGGGCTACCATGTATTATATATTTGAACCGTTTGAAGTCTGTACTAGAATATCGCTGAAAACAAGACATCTAACATTATCGTGACGAGGAGTCTTTTTATCTGTCCAATTTAATCACAATCATTCGAAAACTATAAAAAAAATGTTACAAAACAAGAAATTGATAGTAAACTTCCCCACGTAAATACTGAAACCCTTTTGAACAATTTCTAGAACCACTTGATCTAAGAAACATTAATACAATATTTATTTCCAATAGAATCTAACGAACCATTGGTAGTTCACAGCTCTATAAAACACGTTGAACATTTATACGCCTGTGTTTAGTTCCCAGTTTGATAAGACACATGTTTTCCTCCAATTATAAAATAACTATCATCACTAACATGACGTGTTTAGTTCCATGCTTTAATCACTGGACTACAGTAGTGAACAAAGAATAGCAACATCTACGAACTTGAACATTATATTATACTTGATATATTTGGCACCATTAGTTCATAGTTAGGCAAAACGCAACCCACTATTACACACTTGATGATATTCAACCCACTAGGATTTTTTCTATCCTTACCTCACGATATCCAACCCACTAGAATCTTTCTTGCGCTCTTGCTTATGATATCCAATCTATCAGAATCGTTTTCTTGCAGATTTTCCAGCTAGAATTTTGAGCATTTTGGCTGAAGATTTTGGAAATATTCTTTAAAGTATGTATCTAAATTCAACACATCAGGAACCAGTGTTTCTCAATGCTAGGCTGAACCTTTATATTCTCAAATTCTTCCTAAATATAAGAAAAGACACATATCATTATAAATTCATCAACAGATGACGGGAAAGTCTTTCACGAAGATCTTTGTGTATCGTTATATTTCCCTATGATATCAGCTCTAAAGATGCTTTCCTCTGTAATTTACTTTACACCACCCACAAAGCACATAACACTAACCTGTCAAGTTAATAATGGCTGGAGACGGCTTGAATGGGTAATGAAGAAAAACTTTAATATACGTTTAACATAACAGCAAATGTACAACGTTTCGACAAGGTTTTGTCATCATCAGGTCATCGAACCTGTCAAGTTGTTAGGTGTGACCTGAAATAACAGGCCTAGCAACTTGACAGGTGAAATGAACTGCTGTTGTTGTCATCCGGAAAGAAGTCTTGTTATTTCAGGTCACACCCAGCAACTTGACAGGTGAAATGAACTGCTGTTGTTGTCATCCGAAAGGAAGTCAACTGTAACATTCTACTAACAAACATACTTTATCTGTGATATATACAACTGTAACATTCTACTAACAAACATACTTTATCTGTGATATATACAACTGTAACATTTTAGACCTAGATCGTCTTTTACTTTTCTCTTGCCAAAAGCCACTTCCAAAGCTGAAATATTTTCTTATGCAAATAATATGAAACGAGCAGCTGGTTGTCATCCGAAAGGAAGTCTTGTTATTTCAGGTCTCTCCTAGCAACTTGACAGGTGAAATGAACTGCTGTTGTTGTCATCCGGAAAGAAGTCTTGTTATTTCAGGTCACACCTAGCAACTTGACAGGTGAAATGAACTGCTGTTGTTGTCATCCGAAAGGAAGTCTTGTTATTTCAGGTCACACTACTAACAAACATACTTTATCTGTGATATATACAACTGTAACATTCTACTAATAAACATACTTTATCTGTGATATATAAATGTTACAATTGTATATATCACAGATAAAGTATGTTTATTACTAGAATGTTACAGTTGTATAAATCCCAGATAAAGTATGTTTATTACTGGAATGTTACAGTTGTATAAATCCCAGATAAAGTATGTGTTTACTAGTAGAATGTTACAGTTGTATATATCACAGATAAAGTGTGTTTATTAGTAAAATGTTACAGTTGTATATATCACAGATAAAGTATGTTTGTTAGTAGAATGTTACAGTTGTATATCCACACATAAAGTATGTGTTTATTAGTAGAATGTTACAGTTGTATATATCCCAGATAAAGTGTGTTTATTAGTAGAATGTTACAGTTGTAAATATCACGGATAAAGTATGTTTTTAGTAGAATATTACAGTTGTATATATCACAGATAAAGTGTGTTTGTTAGTAGAATGTTACAGTTGTATATACCACAGATAAAGTGTGTTTATTAGTAAAATGTTACAGTTGTATATATCACAGATAAAGTGTGTTTATTAGTAGAATGTTACAGTTGTATATATCACAGATAAAGTGTGTTTGTTAGTAGAATGTTACAGTTGTATATATCACAGATAAAGTGTGTTTATTAGTAAAATGTTACAGTTGTATATATCACAGATAAAGTGTGTTTATTAGTAGAATGTTACAGTTGTATATGCACACATAAAGTATGTGTTTATTAGTAGAATGTTACAGTTGTAAATATCACGGATAAAGTATGTTTGTTAGTAGAATGTTACAGTTGTATAAATCCCAGATAAAGTATGTGTTTATTAGTAGAATGTTACAGTTGTATATATCACAGATAAAGTGTGTTTTTAGTAGAATATTACAGTTGTATATATCACAGATAAAGTGTGTTTATTAGTAGAATGTTACAGTTGTATATATCACAGATAAAGTATGTTTGTTAGTAGAATGTTACAGGTTGTATATATCACTGATAAAGTGTGTTTGTTAGTAAAATGTTACAGTTGTATATATCACAGATAAAGTGTGTTTATTAGTAGAGTGTTACAGTTGTATATGCACACATAAAGTGTGTGTTTATTAGTAGAATGTTACAGTTGTATATATCACAGATAAAGTGTGTGTTTATTAGTAAAATGTTACAGTTGTATATATCACAGATAAAGTGTGTTTATTGGTAAAATGTTACAGTTGTATATATCACAGATAAAGTGTGTTTATTGGTAAAATGTTACAGTTGTATATATCACAGATAAAGTGTGTGCTCAGTTGAACTACCAATTTTACACTGTTTATGTTTTCTGACGATTCCTGCTAGTCCTACCACCATTATATATTTCATGCCATTCTTCTTAATGCTAATATTTGAATTAACTAGTTTCATCTTTCCGGTTTAGTTGGTTACCTATGGAGAGTTAATGTCAATGGATTACAGATAATATTATTGGGATGGAGCGGATATGCCTAATTATTCTGATTAAAGAACAACAGAACATGAAAGTTACAGCAACCTCACTCAGAGAAGATAATATGCTACTGAATTATAACCCCCACTGTGAATTAATTCAAATAGAATAACACATATGGTTGAAGGAAGAGAAGATAATATACTACTGAACTGTAACCCAATTGTTAAATTAATTCAAATAAAGTAACACAGACAGCTTAAAGAAAATATAATATAATATATTTTTAAATAATAAACCCATTGTTGAATTCATTCAAATAAAATAATACAAACGGCTCAAGGACTTTTTAACATAACATAATGTTTAGGGACAAAAAGAGACCTATTGATACATCTAGGCTGTTCTATCCTCTAAACTAAACTAAAACTATACTAAAAATAACTAAAACCTGACATTCAGCCCTTATCATTCACATAGTTATGAAGCTTTATCATAAAATTACTTAAATTTACTGCCCCCACAACATCTGAAAGCAACTGAAGATGACTCCTACCTTACCAAAATTTATATTTGTGTCCCCTAATCCTACTATTCTCACTGTTAAGTATGTAAAAAGATAATGCATCTACACTATCAATTCACTTAACAATCTTAAACACCTCAATCAGATATTTTATAACTCCTCTTTTTTTTTCAAATTGAAAACAATTTCAGAGATCTCTCCTCGTATGACAACCCCTCCATCCCAAATATCATTCAAGTAGTCCTCCTCTGAACCCTTTCCAACAAATCAAGTGCCCTATCTAAGGTAAGGAGTCAAAGACTAAACACAATACTTCAAATGTGGCCTAACCAGCGACATATACAAGGAATTCTCTTTAGACTTATATTCAATACTTCTGTGGATACAACCTAAAATCCTGTTTCTCCTACCACTAGGAACAGCACACTGCTTAAATGGCTTAAGAGATTGATCAGCC